ACGTTGTCGCCACCAACAGTGGGAACTTGAACAGGCTTGAAATGTTCAGTCTGTGGAATACACAGCAAGTTGTGAATACATAAAACTAAAGAGTGTGAACATCAAATTATTCGATTGATCACCAGTGTCTTCCCACTCACTAAATCTCCATGTAGGCTAATATGCAACCTATGGAAGTTTGTACATGTCCAATGTGTTGTCAAGAGGCAACTTGTGCGCCACTCATAGAGCATACAGTACAATCAAGAGCCTGCAGCAGATAGCTGAAGGCGAGTTTGTTTTTACTACTCTTCATGTGTGGTTTGATGTTGATGCGGTGTGCGCAACATGGCTTTGGGTGTCTCCTGGCGCTCTGGTGGGGAATTTAGAGCCTGCCTATGAAGGTCAAAGGTGAGAGGAGGCCAGGCAAACAGCAGTAGACTTGCACTTCCCCTCATCATGTGCAAGTATTGCGTGTGTGTGTGTGTGTGTGTGTGTGTGTGTGTGTGTGTGTGTGTGTGTGTGTGTGTGTGTGTGTGTGTGTGTGTGTGTGTACGTGTGACCTCTTCACCTGAAGGGGGCCATCCACGGTTGTTTTTCTGCTTAAGTCAGGTAGTGTTGTCGCTGTTTTTAGGAGCTATTTTCCGCTCAAACATAAGAAGTAGCGTGAGGCAAGACAGTTGTCAAACCGTAACACTGCACTGTAAGAGATGAAAGATTGAGCTCGAGTTATTTATTTGTCAAATAAGGATCTTGTCATATAAGCTTCTTGAAGACTTTGCAATAACGTCCCTGAAAAGTGAACACAACACGAAGAATGACGTTAACAACCCGGACAAATTTAAACAATAACATGTGAGTGAGGTTTCAAAATCGTCAAAGTCAAACTATTGTCCACCTAAATTCATTTTACAGGGTCTTTAAAGATTACAACACATCAGTCGGCCTAGGACAAACGGGCCCAGTCCTTGAATTGGCCCGAGGCTGAATGCACATCTGATAAGTGAGTCCATCAGCTTGCATTCGTGACAAACAGTCACCACACTGCATTTAGACCACTGATTATATGCACAGGAAATCTTCTCAGGTGCAGTTTGTTCCCAGGGGTAATGACATCCTTCACCAATAAACAGCCATGGAAAAACTTATCAGACCGTCAGGTTTTTTTCCATTTCAGGTTCATTTTTATTTCTGTTGCCACTAAAAGTGTATCAAATGACACCAACAAAAACATGGAATGATGAAAAAAAGCACCATTGACAGTACAATGTAGCTATTGATGTACATGGAAAAAAACTGGTGTGCTGAATTTGCTCAATTTTATTTCAGCAAGTGGTGAGACAAAATAAAATCATCTGGTTCTAGATAGATTTGTTTAAGGAATAAAATTGACAAAATTCTTTTTTTTCTCAGTGTAAAAACGTGTGAAATGATTTTGGTTACTGTCAAGAAAACCTTTGGAAAATGTCTCAATCAGCACTTCAATTTAAATCATTATGTGCTGTTTTTGTTGTCATTGCAGTTTTTCCATTTTCCATTTCTCAGATCAGAATTGTCCAATTTTCACATCATTGCGTCGCTTGCATCCATCATGAAAGCAGTTCATTTCTTGGATCAAGTCGCAAATGCTTGGCAAATCCATGATAAAGTGCAATTCTCTGCTGTTTTCACCATGACCAATTGCTTGTTGATCCAAATTGATTCGAAAGCATCTCTGTTGAATTGTCTCACACCCCACAACATTCAGGCATTTGTTCATAGTGGAAGTCTTTTCATGCAAAATGGCTGAACAGGTCTTCAGAAGATGTCAAGCATTTTTCTATACGTTTCCATTCAACAGTTTTCCCATTCAGGTATTGACTCTTTCTAAATTCATCAAAAAGGACAAATGTGCAATAAAATCAAGGTCATTTAACAAAAAGTTGATTTCAGTGCATCTCAAGGCAGTTAAAATAAACCGAAGAAACAAGGGTCATGGGCACACATTTTTTTAGTTCGTATTGTGATGATTATTTCCTCACCAAAGTGCAGCCACAAAGACACACACATGGTATGGAATGTATTGTTTTCAAAATGGATGTGTGCGATGTGTACTCTAGTGGGTGTGAGTCTGCCCAGAGAAAAAGAATGTTGAAGTTGACTGTCACACCCTAACACCTTCATGGCATTTTTACGCCCACACTGGAGAACAGGGCATCTTTCTTCTGCAAGCCCATTCGGATCACAGGCTTGCCCCAAATTCTATTCTAGTTTGTCTATTCAACTCAGGGCAACAATTGGCACACCCATATGAGTCGACCAGGATCTAAAAATCAAGGCATTCCTCACCATGGCGGTGTAGCACACTGGCGTCATGGATCTTACATAGTGTAGTTCAGTCCGCAAACATCTCCCACACTGTCCTTACTGTCTGCACATGGACACACATATTTCATGGCGACGGATTTTTAGCTTTCCACCATTTAGAATACAGTGACTAGGAATCCCCCAAAGTGCCGTGCCACAGGAAATCATCCGCTTTTGCTTAATTTTGCCAAATATGATCATTTATGAATTCCAAATCTATCTTTGCTCATCAAGCTATGCCGGCGTCTTTGAGTGACGGGCACAACAAACAATGAAGTGCTCCCTCATAAGATGGCAGCAGGTATACAAATAACCTGCAGTATGTCTCCTCCTTTTATCATTGGTCCAACACAATTATAGCTTTGTGTTCATCCAAACGGGCCCACATTGAGGAACTTGTGAGTAAATTTAGAGGAGGTCTTCTTTATTGCTGTAATCATACTTTTTTGTTTTCTGGTGAGATTTTTCTTACGTATAGCCTACCCACTGCGGCATTTTCCTTACCTTTATCTTAACAACATGACTCTGGAAACACAAATTTGTGTCCTGACGACACAATCCAGAATAAAGAGCACACATAGCTTGGCAAGTCATGCAGGGAAGTGTGTATTTACTGGAGCAGAAAATATCAGCACACTTACTTTTTTGCATTGATTTTCTGAAACTAATATACATCTTCTGCACTACATTTAAGCAAAAAACAACAACAATGCATGACCGAATGCTGCGTCAGTTTAAAAAAAAGTTACAACGCCTGGCCGAATGCTGCATCAATTGCAATTCAAGCAGATGTGTACATAGCATGGAAAAGGATTCCTTTCCTACCTGCAGCCCACATTGATTGCCCCTCTGCTGCACTTCCTGAGTCAGTCAAATCTCCCGCACTGGAGAGTCACACTGAGACGTACCTAACTTCTCCGGGGAACTGTTTCTTGCATGAAACTAGTCAACACACGCACCACAGAGACCTCGTTATCGTTCTTTTGAAAATATTTGAAGGCAGACGCAAGTGGAGTAAACGCTCACCCTTACGGGGGTAATGTACAGGACATGCAGGTGGTGGTGGGCAGACAGAAACCACAAACGTCGGCGCTATCATCTGCCCTCCCTCACTTTTTTACAGCACTGTGTGAAAAAATCTACAGCAGGGCAGACTATGGCAAGTGGTAGATGAAGAAGTGAGCAGGCTGAGGGAGTCTGCAGCAGTGGGGGGCCACTGTCCAGGAGGAGAGAAAGCGTCAAATGTCACTGAAGTCGTGAGGAAGAATATGGAAGGTGGACGACTGGCTGTGAAGCGCATTTCTCCCGCTTCCAGTGACCTCATGGCTGCTTCGTGAACACTCTCATTAAGAGGCGCATTTGTTTAAATGTGACAACTGAATGTATTCTGAAGTACTGAGGAAAACATAAGTGAGATTCAAAGATGGGATCTGACAATGCTTAAACAGTAAATGTAAAACATAACCAAATAAACAAACCTAATTTTGAAGGCATGTCGCAATACTGAGTGACAATATGAACCGGACCTAGTGGCACAGTGGCCGTGGCTCCGAGCCTCAAATGCCTATTTTACCTTCCTATATCTAACAATTCAAGATGAAAGTGAGTTCCAAAACAGGAAACATCAGTTTAGCTTGAAACTTAAATATGTCTTGAAATGTGGACGGAGATAGTTCCAACACTGTTCATAAACACTCCAAAGAAAATCTGACAAACGAACCTCATCACTAGTCAGAATCACCATCTGAAAGAGCAAGTGATGCCCGTAAACGCTTGGTCTTTCCGTGAACCGGAGTGCATTTTTCATTGGCCCATTCATTGCATATCATGTGACAACTACAGTAAGTCCGACATGACTGAGACATGTTGCCCCAAAACACTAATACTAATTCTATTTGAAATTTCGTATAAAATACAACAATGACTGATGTCTGAAAAGATGCCTCAATCTCCTCATACAAGTCCACCTGTATCACTGCTAGGATTTTTATGTAGAAGAAGCTTGTTTCAGAATGTATTCTGTTCACTATTTTTTTTTTTTTTTTTTTTTTTTTACTTTGGGTCATGAAAATGGTTCATTGGATCTCATTTCATCTCACAATGTATTATTGTCTTTTCAGATGGGACATGACCCCTGACCATAAAAAGAAATACAAAAAAATTTTTTATTTCACTTGTAAGTTGCACGCTCTGGTGGAGAGGATAATCACAACGTAAAAACTTACATGTGTGACAACAAGCCCCAGTCTCCCCAGCACTTTGGGCCACCGCTTTTCTTGATCCTCGCAACAAGCAAAAAACAAAAACAAATCAACCCCCCCCCCAAAAAAAAAACAGGCCCTTAAAAAGTACAGCACACTACAGCTGTCGATGAGGAACACCTTCTCATCTATTGTGTATAGACTGTATTATATTTTTACATTTAGTCATCTGAACACTTTCAGAACAAATATAAACAAAATTCAATGCATTCATGACTCATTCGTTGTCACGCGTGTTCAATGATGCAGAATACTGAACACGGTTTATTTAGTAACTTTAATTTCCAATCAACATGCCCAATGGTTGTCACATCCATATACCCAAGAATACGTTGAATTTAAAATGTCAAACGTGTGGGTCACAAATATATGTAGATGTACAAAAGTCATCCGAGACCCTTGTGATGAAACGAGTTGACTGAAGCTCATCCTGACCCCGCCTACTCAATCAGTGTTAATTGAAAAATCCTGCGAAGGGTCCCAAAAATCATCTGGGTGAGTTTACATGTGTGTCAGTTGGACGTGGACACCCGCTTGTGGATGAAATCAACTCTTCTGGTGGAGAAATGGCCAGCATAGAAGTTTTAACGAGTCGGTTTAATTCGTATGATGTCATGTACAGCGGTGATTTACGGGAGCAAACCTTTGCCGACTGGCCCTTTCGAGAAGATTGCAACTGCACACCTGAAAAGGTAAGATAGCTGATTGCTCTCCACTGTCTTGTCGCTTGAAGAGAAATTATACTCGAAATTTCGTCGCAAAGAGTTTATGAATGCCATGCAAATAGTGTCTATTGGTGTTAAAGAGGGATTGTCTGTCTGATTGACACTGCACTTTAAGATTTGTATTTTATGGCATTAATCAATGTACTGCAGTAAATATACTTTATACATGGATAGAACCACGTGTGACTTGCAACCATGCAGCTGCCAGATTTGGTTTCACTCTAAAAGGAGTCGAGTGTGGAAGGTCGTGTGCCTGTCCACATCTCCTGATTGATTGGCTGGTGACCCCTCTCTGGATTCTTATTCAATGACGCTCTACATGGCACTCGGATCTTCTTATAATGTTACTTTAATTCACACGTTGTGGAATAAACCTACTTTACTTTGCAATTTTATGTTGGACTGCTGAGTGGGAGCTGAAACATCACGGTGGAAAAGCATGTGGGCCTACTGTATTAAATTGTGCAACTTGAAATACCCGCCGCTTCTCACACTCTTAACAAATGGCGACATCTAGTGGATATTTGCGTGCGTTGCATATCAAACATCAGCCCCGTTGATGTTGTTGCTTTACTGTAAATACGAATGTATTTATTAGATTTTTTTTTTTTTGTGCGCAGATGGCCAAGGCTGGTTTTGTGCACTGTCCCGGTGACAATGAGCCCGATGTGGTTTGCTGCTTCTTCTGTCTGATTGAGCTGGAGGGCTGGGAGCCTGACGATGACCCCTGGTGTGTCCAACATCCAATTTCTATGATTGGCTCTAGATGTACACTGACCAGCTGCATTCTGATCACTTTGGCGGTGCACATTAAGATCATCAGGATTCTCTCTTCAAATTTTATCAAGCAACGGACTAAAACAATCGTTAACTTCTGTGAAACTGATCATAGCTGATACAAGAGTTCGGGAATTGATATGGTCACTGTTCACTCACACTGTTGAAGGTATTTATGTTAAGTTTGCAGTTGTTTTATTTCATTTGTAGGAAGTCCTTATGACATGACAGTAGGACATGCTAAGTATCTGTTAAAAAAATTGACCATCTCTGGGCCCCGTATTGTGCCTTTTAATTGGGTATCAAAGAAACCTCCACAACTGAGACAGAAGGCATGATTCACAAGGTACGAATCATTTGTTGCACATTGTAGTGGGTGCAACACTCTGAAATCACAACAGTTAACTCCACATCACATGGTTTATGGACGCTGCGTGGTGGCTCATCCCAATATTGCCTGACATGAATTTTGGACATCATTTTTCCATGGATTTCTGAATTATTGATTTTCAAAAGATGTTTACTTATACATACAGGTATGTGCATTCGTTGAGTACCAACACCCCTAGTAGTTTTGATATGTAGAATTTCAGACAACACAATGACAAAAAAATTGTGAAGAGACCTTTTTGACTGATGACTCACCATTGTCAAACCTCCACTGTATATGCCAGCTAACATAAATGTAATGGTACAATTTTATTTTTGTAACCCTTAATTGCTTAGCTCTTGATGAGAAACTTTTTAGAACTCCTTTTGTTTGTACAACTTTATTTTAGTGGTCCTATTTTATATAGCACTCATTGTGATGATGACGCAAGTGGTCCTAATGTTGGGGCTGCTCATTGTTGTTTTGCAATTTTGAATTACCTGTGTAATGCTTTGCTACAAGGTCTCTTCAGATGTGAAATATTTAACTCCCAGGTTCGAGCACATAAAACGCTCACCTAAGTGTGCATTCCTCCACCTGAAGAGAGACTTCCCTGAGCTGACATTGGCTGAGATGTTCCACTTGGAGAGTGAGAGGGTCAAGATCTTTGTTGTGAGTGATTGACAATTGATGTCTGACCCACCTTAAGACCGCGCAGCGTTTCATGACTTTTACTTTTCTCCCCTTATAGAGAAAAGTTTGCCACAAGAAGATGGCACATATGCGGGATGCGGTGGACGAGGCCCTTAAAGGCTTTCGATCACAATTGGATTCCGTATGACCATGGTCAGATTGTGATTTGTATTTATTTTTGAAATGCTACAACTGCATGTCATGAATGATGTATAATGTTTCACATATAAATAAATGTTTTATGGTTGAGGTATTTGTAGTGACCACAAAAGCATGCTTTTGAGCTTGAAATTTACATATGTAACAAACTATTGGAGCTCCCTAACTCAACAAATAGTTGACAAAAGTGATCCTAAATGAAAGCATACATTGAGTCAGATGACAATGTAGTCTATATTACCTCCTTTCAAACACATACTTAGCATATTCGTGAACATGTCGCCATCTTTAACATCCCTTTTCAAAGCTTGACCCTGGACAGATGGCGTGAAGCCCCTCCCTTCCAAGACCAACTGTTGCCTCAGTAACATCTGTTACAAATGGAAAGAGACTGCGCACTGAGCGGACCCGTCACAGCACTCTCCGAACACTACCGGGAGCACTCATGATGAGGCTAAGCTTCCGAATGACAAATGTGCTAATGTTAATATTGGTTGAGACAGCAGTTGCTAATCTTCATTGCCATGATCCAGCTCTAGATATAGCATGTTGGATTGGTAGAGTTTTTCAAAATTTTAAAGTTGTTGTCTTCTGATCGAGCCTGAGTGAAGCTCACGGCGACAGGGTTGGCAAAATGGGATTAAAGCGACACTATATCTCTTCTCTGACCTTCACTCTTCTGGATGAATGTCTAATGTAACACTCTGGCCACTCAGCGCAGATCAGAGGCTTAATTCCTTTTTAGCCGGTGGCTCATGGGCAAATTCAAAATGAACTTTTTTGGAGGGGGTGGGCAGAAAGTCCACTTGACAAAAAATAAAGTCAAAAATGTCTTTACCAGTAGGTGTTACACAATCAGGATTTGGTGTGGGGTGGGGGCGGGGGTATCACTGATTCAATCAGAGGATGGAGCAATAAATCTACAGTATTTAAGAAACTTGTATGCTTACTCTGTATTAGGCCTCTGCCATTTGCCGAGGGATAAGCACTGGCACACGCATCGCAAAAGTCCACGAAACTGACACCAATTGAAATGAATTGGAGAGAGAGAAATAAAATTCTCAAAAAAAAAAAAACCAATGAAACATTAAACATGTTTACATCTCCTCTGAAATTGATGGGGCAGGGAAAAAGTGCATGAACATAGCCAGTCAATTAGGTGGCCAGGGATTTTGCTAAATACTATTTTTGCTCAACAGCTGTAAACGTCCATACACTTGCCACCAGTTACCTCAACTTCCTGGCTCCACATTCTGCTCCTTTTTGGCTTGCACTGGAAGATGGCTGTGTTGTAAAAGTCCAAGTGATTATTTTGTCCTACATAGTTTGTCCACTTTTTACCTGCAAAGGCCACCTGTGTTTGGTGTAAGTTCCAGTATAGCTGTACAGATGCAGCCCCATCTACGCAAACTGTCTTGACTTGCGAGCTTAGCTCAACTTGCCTTCGGCATTACTGCAGTGTATCTCATATCCATGTTTAACATAAATTTGGTGTGACAGCAATGGAGCCATTTCTGTGTCCATTTAAACATGCCTACCTGCTGGGTGCGCGTGTGTCCACAAGTTCACAGTACTTCTGCCTCGTGATGAAAGCTAGTTTGGCGAGATTACGGCGACATTGCCCATTTGCGTTTTTTTTTTTTTTTTACAAGAATATATATATATATATATATATATATATATATATACACATATAATTAGTGTGTTCTCAACAACAATAAACTAGACTGGTCTAACAACACGGCATGGGCATAGCCGGCTCTTCCTGCTCAGAAAACGGAGGTCTTTTGGAATTCAGGGGTCACTCCTTAAGACCTTCTATGACTCTGTGGTGGCCTCAGTCAGTCATTATGGCATTGTCTGTTGGTCAGGCAATCTTAGCCCAGGACAGAGTTGGCCCTCCAGACCAGTCTCTCACTGTCCCGGGCTGCTCCCCCGACACTCTGGAGGAGTTGGGCAACAGGAGGATGCTAGCCAAGCTAAAAGCTATGATGGACAGACCCTCCCACCCCGAGGGGCAGTTCCTTCAGCCAGAGACTGATACACTTGCGCTGCAAGAAGGAGAAGGTACCGACGCTCATTCCTGCAGACTGCTGTCAGGCTGTTGAATAGACAGACCTGAAAACCTGGACTCACCCCCACTCACCCATTTTTAATATGCTTATACAGTATATTTTATAATTTATATGTATTTATATACTTTTTGTTCGAATATATATAGATATATATATACACACACACACACACACACATACACGTCTTCTACTTCTTTTCATAATTTTGCTGCTGTAAATTGGGAATATCTGAATTGTGAGAGTTTTTTTTTTTTTGCCATAAAATCGTTGTGTGACTTTTTTTTTTTTAACCACGACAATCATAAAACTTTAGCAAAACTATTATGTGACTGGATGGGTGAGGTCATTGAGAAGGAGCTTCTGCTTTCCAATGCAAAGGCTTTCTGCTCACAGGGCGTGACAAGACAAAAAAAAAAAAAAAAAAAGGTTTCTTGCTCACATATACAATAGGGTACTCGAGGGCAGCACAGTACTTCCCCGCAGTGAATGAGGCTGTTTGCTGTAAATACTTATTTTGCGCATCTGAATATCGATCGATTAAGTTACATTAGTCGATCACTGATTTTTGCACATAATGCCAAATATCTGCTGATCCCGATTCAGGCAATTAGATCAGTGTAGAGTCTCACGATAATGCTCTGTACCCACATTAGTCTAAGCATGGTATTCTGATTAAATGTTGCATTTATGGAATATGAACTAAGCCGGAAAATCAACCCGTTTGCATTCATTTCAGGGTGCGCCTATAATTTTCCCTCTGCTGACACCCGCTGAAAACGACATCACAATGCCAGGCGGGCTCAGCTTGCGAACATCGCAGAAACAAGCCCAGAATACAGGTGAGTTGTGATTGGTCGTAACGTGAGCCCTTAGGCACTGTGATGTCATTTTTTGTTTTAGTTGACAGCAAGCGTCAAAATGGTCGCCACCTCAGATGGATAAAAATGGGTGTCTTTTAATGCTTAATATTTCACAATAGCGCTAACAATCAGAGTACCGGTACCATGTTTAGACTAGTGGGGGCGCATAGACCAAAGAAAAATTTTGACTGGACTTCCACTTTAAATGTTGCATTTCCATTGGTCTTTGTTTACTTGGGATCCTGAAACAATGCTCCCACCGTTCTTTGGCCAATGAAAATTGCTAACACTGACATTGTCAAGTGAAACGAGCACAAGGTTGTCGTCTGGACATGGAGGCAACTCAAGATTGTGGAATTCACACGCATGGATCATGCAATGTGTTTACAATCATTGTGAATGTGACACTAATCTGCCTGTGAAAATCAATTTTTTTTTTGTGAGGGTGCCCATGGCATTCGTTGGGGCAGCACACATGTTGAATGACGGGCTTATCTGGCCATGGGAATGCTGCAAACGTGTTAAGTCGTTTGGGTAATCACTGATCCTCAGATGCCTGCCTGTTTTAGGCTTGCATTTTTTTTGGCGGGGGTGGAACTCTTTGTGAGGAAAAACAATTTACAATTTTCTGTCATGTGGCAAAATATTGTCTACAGCAGCATTTCCCTTGTTGAGCAAAGGCACCTATTTTGCACAAGTCTCCGAGCACACCAAGAAAACTCTCAAAAGCATGACTGAAATGATTTCATCTCAAGTTACTCACAAATGTACTTCCTCTGTGTAATCTGAGCCTGTTTAATTGAACACAATGCATGCCTTATTCTGCTGTATGAATGACATCTTAACAGGTGAATTTGACCTTTTGGCATCTGATGGAAGATCCTGTAATCATTTACAGGAGCTTCCGTCAGATGATTTCAGATGACTGATTTCAAATGACTGATTGATGCTTATTATATTGTTGCGTCTTGAGACAAAAGTTGCTGTGAACTGCAAACACGCCACCCCCCCCCCACACACACACACACACACAAAAAACCCCATCAAACTTGTTCGCTCAGGCACATACAGCATAGAAACCAGTGGAATATGCAACAGCAGACCAGTTTAACATGGCTAAAGTTACACTGAGTCACTGAGGAAATTGAGTGGTAGGAGGTCTACGAACACCCCAGCATGTGTCATTCTACGCAACCTCAGCCTGTCAAGCAGTGCCCACTGCCCCTCACAGGCTATCCCAGGAGCATTGATGTAACGCTTGTGTTTTGCTGTGCTGGCAAATGTTCATTGTTTGACACTAAACTGCAACCTTAGAGTAATTCATCAAAAGTCTTCATGTCTACATGCAGGTACTTTTTGTTTTAAATGGTTTACCGATCATAGTTGGTGGTACATTTATGGTTGGCACTTTTAGTATGGACACTTAGACTCACTTTTAGGAGAGTGTCAATTCTTTGCAGAAATTTGCTATTTGTGAACGGGCTCGTTCCTGTACTCATTTTAACTGCATTCAAAATATCAGGGTTTTTGGAAGGTTCTGGACAAAATTGGATTCCAGAACGTGAACTCAGAAAAAAATTGACAAAAAAGTTTATTTACAAAAAAATAGGTCGCAAGACTGACAAGGTACGCTGCTAAAACACCAGGAAAACGAAACAACCTAAAATGCTTGCAAAAGGCAACGACAAATTATCCACAGAAATAGCTTGTCAATAAATAGACAAGAAAAAACGCTAAACGCATAGGATACAAAAAAGGAAAACGTGATGAAAAACTTATTGCAAAAGGTATGTGCAAAAAACATGAAGACTATGAAACTATGAGAATTCAATACTTGGGGTCAGGGCCGTGAACAAGATGAATTATCCGACTGACATGACAACTTGGAAGTCCTTAAAATAATTATTAACATTGGCAGCAGGTTTGCATGTTGGAGGGAAGGCCCCTCCTCTGCCATCTGCTGGAGAGACACAAGAACAGAAATATGACACAAAACCAAGCCAACAGATGCATTTCATTTGGAACTGAAAGGGCAGGTTAAAGACAGCCACCCAGTTGATTGATATGTTTTTTTTTAATAATTTGGTTAACATTGTGCCTTTTAATGTACCCAAAGAAGATTTATTTATTTATTTTCTGGTGAGGCCCTTTGTGGCACCTTCGTCTGAGGTATGTCTTTTTGCTTTCAGTGATCACTGCATCCATTTTAATTTCCTCTCACTCGTGTGATTCAACCAATTCAAATCAAGTACAAGATGAAAGGAACCAGCACAACATAATTTGATGAGCATCATGTACTGTATTTTAGAACACATGAGAAAGCAGTGAGCATGTAGAGTTCACACACACACTGTATCATGAGAAGCATTGCTCAACTTTTCCATGGCGAACGATAATGTGTCAATGACAAATGGTGCACATAAAATTGTGGCAGCTAAGAGGGGTTTTCTTGGTTTGACTTTTAGTTTGACAACATTGGGACCTTTGAAATAATACATTGGCCTTAATGAAAGGATTCATCCATTAAGTAAAACGCAGGCCGCCTATCTTCGATGTTATATTTGGTGAGGGTCAGCCTTTAAGTTACAGCACACTGTGCAGTTTGTATCTGCTTAGTGCCTGACACTTGAAAGAGTTTGAGACTTTTGGAATGAAAGTGAAATACCTCCATTGTGGATTTTTTTCCCCCTCTCTCCTTCTCTTCCAATGCAACAGCATGCAACGTACATTGCACCACTGTGAACAGAACCCTGCATGTCGGGCACAATTCATTAGTAGCCATAAATGTGATTTAATAATACTCGCTGTGCACACATTA